CTTCTTCTTCTTCTTCTTCTTCTTCTTCTTCTTCTTCTTCTTCTTCTAAGGCTTCAGGCTAAATCTTACCTTGATTGCAAGTCTCATCAAATTCTTAGGGGCCTATTTGGGAGCATCAAATGCTCAGCATCAAATAATTAACTGGACATCACCTGGTGTTTATTAATTTAAGAGTAACTCCCACACACACACACACTAAAACCTTCTGAACATCAAGGTTAAAAGAGCCTGCAGCTGAACCTAGCCAGTAGAAAGCCACTATACTCAGCTGGAATTGTTTTAGAATAATTAGAATAAATTGATTGCATTATAGGGTTGGAGCACCTAACCCGACTGCCTCAATTTTTCCCATCTGTGTTGCGTGAATCCAGGCTGCAAAAAAAACAAAAAAAGCCAATGAAATCCTAGGCTGCATCAACAGAGGGATAGAATCAAGATCACATTAAGGATTAATACCACTTTATAAGGCCTTGGGTAAGGCCACACTTGGGATACCGTGTCCAGTTTTAGTCCTCATGATGCAAAAAAAAGGATATTCACAATCTGGAAATAGTGCAAACAAGAACAAGAAAGAGGATCAGGGGCCTGGAGGCTAGAACATATAAAGAGTGGTTGCTAGAATTGGGTATTTCTAGTTTGATGAAAAGAAGGACTAGGGGAGACATGATAGCAATGTTCCAATATCTCAGGGGCTGCCACAAAGAAGAGGGGATTAAATTATTCTCCAAAGCACCAGAAAGTGGGACAAGAAGCAACGGGTGGAAACTAACCAAGGAGAGAAGCAACCTAGAACTAAAGAGAAATTTCCTGACAGAGCAATTAATCAGGGGAACAACTGGCCACCAGAAATTGTAAATGCTCCAACACTGGAAGTTTTTAAAAAGATATTGGACAATCATTTGTCTGAAATGGTGTAGGGTTTCTTACCTAGGCAGGGGGTTGGTCTAGAAGACCTCCAAGAGCCCTTCCATCTCTGTTATTCTGTTTGGTCAGCATGTGATTTGAGCTGGACGAATAGATTTAAAAAATACAAAATATAATAAATAGAAAAAAAATTACTTTTTTTTCCCCCAAGCCGACAAATGTTATTAAAAAGCAGAAATCTTTTCCCCATTGCTGCAGCTCACCAATCAGGAAAAAAAGGGTTTCTGAGTTTCAGATTAATTGGGTTTAAACAAAAGCTTAATTTCACCATGAGTTGCAAGTTATGGGTTACACCTCCCTCTAAGCAGAATCAGATTGAAGGCGTATCTACATCTTGATGTGGTTTTCCCAGAGTTTCGTCTTTCCCAACAGAGTTGCATAAAAAAATGCTCTATATAAATACATTTGCACTGGAGAGCTTTTTAAGTGGGAGTGCACACTATTTTCACGTGAGCCATGGGCCCTGCTCCAAGCCACAGATCTCTGCAGTGCCCTCGAGGAAGTAAGCCAAGCCTCCATCTGCATTTAGGATCTATAATGGGGCCTTCCAAAATATCCATTAAAGTCAGCATTCTGTTCCTTCTGAACCCGATTGCCACAGGTGTCCAGGCCTTCCCTAAAGCTTAAGAAAAACCAAGCCTTGCAAATTAACTCTCTGTATGCTGGTTTATGAGCAGAGGCTGGGAGATCAATTCCTAACCTGAAAAAGGCATATATTAATGCAGTTAATTAACATTGCAAGATAATTTGCCTTTTTATCATTTTTTTTCCCCCACCGTTAAAAGCTCTGCTTTGTGGTTTTATGGTTTCTTCTTCCATACTCTTTATCATTTATCTTGAAAACTTTGTGCTACTTTACATCTAGACCGGGGAATAAACCATAAAAATCGGTTTCCAATTGAATTCATTATGTTTACTTGGTAACTTCATGGACAGGTTTTGAGGGTTTTTTTGGCAGCCAATATTGGAATCAATTTCTCCCTGCTTTTTCTGGGGCTGTTTCTAGTCCAGGCTAGAGCTTTGGGATTTCCTAGTGGTCTCCCATCCAAGAAGCTCCTCCCCTTTCAATTCACAAAGGGAGAGACATGGATGAACAGGGTCCATTACAATGAAGGATGATTATGTCTCACAAAATGGTGATAAAATGGCCTCACCTTGTTAGAACCCTTGTACTTTTAGTGGCTAACAGAAAAAAATAAATAAAATAATCCCTTTAATTAAGTACTTGGTACTATCACAGAGGCATATTTCAGCAAAAAAAAAAAAACCACAACTCCCAGGAGCCTTTGCGGCCAACCTTTTTTTCCCCCCTCCCTCCCCCCCACTCAGCGCCACCTGGCCCGATAATCCCCAATCTCCCGCCTTGGCTTCCCGTCGCCATGGCAACCAGGCGCCTCCGAACACATGGAGAGTGTCCAGCCGCTCAGGGTCTCCCAGGGGCGGCGGTGGAGTGCAAATCGAGGCCCAGGCTTCGAAGGGGCCCCTAGGCCGCGTTGATGTATAAGAGGCAGGGTTTTCGCCCGTCCTCCGCCGGGTTGACTCGGGGTGTTTGAGCGGGGGGGGGGGAAAAAGACAGGGCGGGAGCGGCCTCAGAAAATGGGCGCCTGGCTGCTGCTGTTGCTGCTGGGCTGTGGAGCCTCCAGCGCCGCGAGCATCTACCTGAGCAGCTGGGCCGTGCGCGTCCCTAGCGGCCCCCAAGAGGCCCAGCGCCTGGCCCGCAGGCACGGGCTGCTTTACCTGGGCCAGGTGCGTCGCCTCCGCCGCCACCGCCGCGACCGCCCTGCTTGACGAGGCCAGGTAGCCTCTGAGCATACGCAGAGCACCTTTTTGCAGGGAAAAAACAAAACAAACCCCAACCTTTCCCCTCTCCCCCCTCCCCTCCCCTTTTCTGTGGCAGGGGGGTAGACTGCCTCTGCACTTGGAGGCTCCATCAGATGAACATGGCTGGGTGAGGGTGGGGCGGTGGAGGCATTTCTTAGGCATCCGAGAAGGTCCTGGGTTTGTATCTGGCGCCAAACGGACATTATCTCCCCCCACCTCCTGTTCTGGGGGGTGGGGGGCTTCATGAGCACTCAGGTAGACTGCTCCTGAACATGGAGGCTCCATTTAGTCAGGACAGCTACCAGCCCAGGATTGACCATCTCTGCCTGTGGCGTCTTCCCCAACAGAGTTTGGAAGAAAAAAAACCTGTTGCACCTTCAATTATTAAGCCCTTTTTTGTTCTGTGGGGGGGGGCACTTTAAAAGGGGGGGGCTTTTATTTTATTTTGGTTTCTTTTTATTTTGTTCTAACTGGGTTGCTATAAAAGGAAACTTTTGAGAGAAGGGGATGCGTGGGGGGTGGGGGGCTAGTCCCATTACCATTATCTAGTCCCATTACCATCCTTCGTGGGGGGTGCACTTTTCTAAAGAGTGGGACCCCAAGATGGGACACAGAGACCCCAACCCAGTCTTGCAACCGAGCGGAGAAGCAAATGCTGCAGGAATTCCTTGCTGCGTATGGAGCCTTTTTTGGGGGGCGGGGGGGTTTGTTTGCTACGAAACTATGTGGTCCGGCTTAGTTTTGGGGGGAGGAAAATAAGGGGAAATAAATTCTGCTTCTGCTTGCCAGCATCTATTGGTATTAGTCTGGCTAGTGTCCTGTCAGTGTATGAGAGAGTAGAGGGCTGTTTGGAAACAGTATTTGCTGTGTGTGAGCAAGAAGGAGACAATAAGGAGCCTGGGCGTGGCTTAGCTCAACTGTTTGGCACCAAAGCTGCTTGGTGCTCTCAAACAGACTGAAACTCCTTTGCTTGTGTTTTGCATTTGGAGCAGATTTCTTTTCAGGTGGGGAAGGGAAGTAGAACTCCTTAGCATCAGAGTGTGTTGTTAATAATAATAATAATAATAACAACAACAACAACAACAATAATAATAATAATAATATAGGGAATATTCTAAATGCTCTGATGGTCATTTCGGAAAAAATCCCTTCTTAGTCAGCACCTAGAAGCCAAGAGGAACATGTGAGCCAAACTTCAAGTTTGTAGGCTTTAAGGTTCTGGAGATTTTGTGATGTTGTGTGAGTGGCATTTCGCTTTTTTATATATAGAGAGAAGAAGAAGAAGATGTCTGTCTGTCTATATCACGTTTTTTTTTTCCTGCACTGTATTGGCTCTGTTTTGCACCTCTTCTGGGGAGGCTGAAGGAGGAAGGAGTTAAAAGCATGCTGCAAAAATACTTATAATTTTTTAAAAAGGAAAAGGGGAGGAAAAGGGAATGGAGGGGGGATTTCTCCCCCTTGTGGGTTTAACTTTAGACCCTACCTTTTGTAAAAGGGTGAGATGAAATGACCTGCCAAAGGTTTAGCAAGTTTAGCAAGTTAAGAAGCCATCATCTCCCTGGAACAGAGAGATTATGGACAAGGTGTGTGTGTGTGTGTAGAGAATGGGGGGCGGGGGTAACCCCAGAAAATTAGGGGTCCCCTGGCAAGGGAAAGTTTCCTGTGTCTGGGACGGTTTTCTTTTACCGGAGGGGGAAAAAAAATCTGAATATCGCAGGAAATGCCAAAGCAGCAACTTATTTCTTTTATTATTTTATTGTGGTTCATTGCACAATCAACCAGGTGATCAGGCTGGATTTGGCCTTTCTGTCTCTCTACTGAGTCCAATATTTTTTTATTATTATTGTTAAAACGTATTGGCTGCCCATCCTTTTATTCCAGGAGGGGTGAGAACCGAGTCTTGCAATGCAGAGGTCTTGCATCATTTCTATTAAACCGTTTTCTCCTCCTCCTCCTCCTCCTCCTTAAAAAACCGGGCTAGCTCCTGGCTTAATCAGACGGATGGGGATCTATTTTGAAGGTATGCAGTCAGGCCTGGGAAAACAGATCAAAAGGGAGAAGGTTTCCAAGGGATTGGAGGTAGATCCCGAGGGATTCTGTGATCTGTGCTTATTTTGCAGCCTGGAAGAACAGGTGGGTTTGCAAATTCAAAGGAACCAACTAGCTGGATTGAATTTGGGGTGGGGGTGGGGGTGGGGGCAAGAGGATTGAGGAGAAGTTGCCCCACAAAATATTTCATTTTTCCTGAGATGTCAATATTTCTCTGGTTGGAATCTGGCCATTGGGTGTGTTTTTTTAATTTTTATTTTAAGAACCTACAACTTTTCCTAACTTTAAGATAAGTGGATTGAAGCTCCCAGAATTCAAAGCAAAGCTGGCTGGGGAATTCTGGGAATTGAACTTCACTATCTTAAAAGCAGCCCCAATGTTGAGAAAACGCTATCTTAACGTAGCCAAGTGTTGAGAAAAGGTAGAACTTTTTAGCTGAGTTCTTCCTCCATCTCTCTATTCTTTTTTTTTTGTCATTCAAGGATGGCTTCGAAACTTGGATAACATTTTACCCCCCCCCCCATTGCAGGTGATTGCCGGAGAACCCTACTTCCACCTGAAACACAGGGGCGTGGCCCAGAAGTCTTTAACCAAGCACCGGGGGTGGCACCTCCGCCTGAAAAGAGATCCTCAGGTAAGCCCATAAGCAGAGGGCCTCCTAAAGGCCCTCTGGCCTGACCCCATACTAATTGCGTAACATTTAAACCATATCTGGCTCTGGCTCTTCACAGCCTTCAGAGTTTGCTCTCTTGAACCTTTCTGCTATGGACAACCTTTAAAAAAATGCAACCCTACCTGTCCTACTACCCCCCACCTGTTTCTCATAGCACTCAACTCCAAGTGACACACCTGTTTTCCTCATCTTTTCGTTGTGTGTGTGTTTCCTCCCCCCCCATTGGCAATCCTCTCCCCTCCGGTTTGTCTACCTTTTTCTTAAAAAGGTGGCAATCCAAAGAGAACCCATTCTTAGTGGCATTCTGACATTAAGGGTCGGATGCTGGCAATACACCTTAAAGGCGGCCAAGTTGATAGGTTATCAGAGGCAGAATAGAATAGAATTCTTTATTGGCCAAGGGTGATTGGACACACAAGGAATTTGTCTTGGTGCAAATGCTCTCAGGGTACATAAAAGAAAAGGTACATTCTTCAAGAGTCAAGAATCATAAGGATCATACTCATCATAAAAATACATAATAAATCACAAGATACAAGACAGTGATAGTAATAGCAGACAAAAAAAATCACATACCAGGATACTAAATAAAACAATATAAACCATAAGATACAAAGTTATAGTCAAAAGAAGATAAGGAGATAGGTAATAGGAAAGATGAGAAGAAGAATAGTGATACAGCCTTACTTAGATAGTTCGACAGTGTTGTAGGAATTATTTGTTTAGCAGAGTGGTGGAATGGAGGGGGAATGGGGCATTTCCAAGGAGTAGGGCTGTCTTAATTACAGGTAGTCCTGTACTTACAACAGGTTCATTTAGTGACCGTTCGAACTTACAATGGCCCTCTGAAAAAAGTGACTTATGACCACTTTTTCACAGTCATGACCTTTGCAGCTTCCCTGCGGGTCACGTGATCAAAACCCAGCCACTCGGCAACTGGCATGTACTTACGGTGGTTGCAATGCCCCGGGGTCCCGTGAGCCGCTTTTGCATCCTGACAAGCTGGGAAGACAGATTTAGTTAACAAGCAAGTTACCAGCTTAACCACTGTGGTGAGATCAGTTGTAAAACGAAGCAAAAAACTGACTTAGCAACTATCTCACTTAGCAACAGAAATGTTGGGCTCCATTGTAGTCGTAAACCCAGAGGCGTCCTATGCTTTTCAAAGAAGCAGAGCAGGGCTGATTTAATTGCTGGCAGGATGCTAATCTGGGAATGATGCAGTTTTCACATTATCCCGCTAGGCTGGCTTCATATAGGTAGGAGTTTATTTCCAGAATGATTGGTTTTAGGGCAACGTTTCTCAACCTTGGCCATTTTTAAATGTTGGACTTCAGCAAGCAAGGCTGGCTGGGGGATTCTGGAAGTTGAAGTCCATACGTCTTTTAAGTTGAAAAACACTATTGTTAGGCTTCCAAAACTGGTATAAACTGGTATGTCTGCCAGCAGCCCCATTAATCAGGGAAGGAACAAACCACTTATCCCAGGAAAGTGGTTGGAAAGTCAATCAGAAAGTCACTCCCCTTATTTGGTTTTAATGGGGAAATGTTTAGTTATTTATCATTGTCATGTTTTTATATCGTCCTTTTATGAAGTTGCAAGCTGCCCAGAGTCGCTTGATAGTGAGGCGGACGGCATATAAATTTAATTAATATTTGCTGGAATTCCTATAGTCCCATACCATTCTTCTCCATACAGCTTTGCTAAAAGGGAAGACTGCAGAAACTCTGTTTGGCACAAAAAAAAAACCTATGGTCAGTTTATGTCTGTGGAGATTCTCTGTCGTCCAGGTTCATAGTTGTCCCAAAGGTGCTTTTATTTCAGGAGGCAACTGGACCTTCCGGTTTTTCTTTCAAGACACCTCGCTTCTCATCCAAGAAGCTTCATCGGATGACTCTGAGGATACAGATAAACCTTCTAGTCTGGCAGGGGGCTGGACTAGAAGACCTCCAAGGTCCCTTCCAGCTCTATTCTGATTCTAGGTTGCGTCTCTCCTTGATTGGTTTCCATCCTTGGCTTCTTGTCCTGCCCTCTGGTGTTTTTTGGGGGGACAAACCCTCAAATATTGCAAGACTGACATCATGTCACCCGCTAATCCTTTTCTTCACCAGGCTAAAACAGCCATTTGTCGTACAGTTTAACCCTCCATCTTTGTGGCTCTTCTCTGAACTCTTTCGACGGCCTCCTCATGTATCCCTTCCGTCTCAATAAATCCGGTGAAAGAAAGCTTTGCGAGAGCAATGTTGACGAGGGTGGAGAAATCATGTTTCCTTTTTAGGAGATAGCCAAAGGGCTGCACCGTCCAAGAGTTAAACAGACCCAGGTTTTATGAGTCTTATCATTTTCCACGGCTGTTGTGAAAGGACGTGATAGGAATCACAGGAAAGAGTGTCGGAAAAATATTTAATCCCACTCTATAAAGCCTTAGTAAGGCCACACCTAGAGTCCTGCATCCAGTTTTGGTCACCACACTATAAAAAAAGATGTTGAGACTTTAGAAAAAGTGCAGAGAAGAGCAACCAGGATGATGAGGGGACTGGAGGCTGAAACATACAAAGAACGGTTGCAGGACCTGGGCCTGGCTGGTCTAGTGAAGAGAAGGACCAGGGGAGACAGGAGAGCATCTTCCAATATTTGAGGGGCTGCCCTAGAGAGGAGGAAGAGGGTCAAGCTATTTTCCAAGCCATCTGAAGGACAGACAAGGAATAATAATGGATGGAAACTGATCAAGGAGAGATTCAACCTGGAAATAAGGAGAAACTTTGTGACAGGGAGAACAATCAACCGATGGAACGGAAGTTGCCCTCAGAAGTTGTGCGAGCTTCATCCCTGGAGGCTTTCAGGAAGAGACTGGGCTACCCTCTGTCAGAAATGGTGTAGGGTCTCCTGCTAGGTTGGGGGGTTGGACTAGATGACCTAAAAGGTCCCTTCCAACTCTGTTAATCTGATAATAGATAGGTTGGTAGGGAGGTAGGTAGAAAGAAAGAGAAAGAGAAAAAAGAGAAAGAAAGAAAGAAAGAAAGAAAGAAAGAAAGAAAGAAAGAAAGAAAGAAAGAAAGAAAGAAAGAAAGTTGTGGGAGTTTCATCCCTGGAGGCTTTCAAGAAGAGACTGGGCTGCCCTCTATCAGAGAAAGAAAGAAAGGAAGGAAGGAAGGAAGGAAGGAAGGAAGGAAGGAAGGAAGGAAGGAAGGAAAGAAAGAAAAGAGAAAGAAAGAGAGAGAGAGAGAGAAAGGAAGAAAGAAAGAAAGAAAGAAAGAAAGAAAAGTTGTGGGAGCTTCATCCCTGGAGGCTTTCAAGAAGAGACTGGGCTGCCCTCTGTCAGAAATGGTGCAGGGTCTCCTGCTTGGGCAGGGAGGGGGGGTTGGACTAGATGACCTACAAGGTCCCTTCCAACTCTGATTCCCTGTTATATAGACTTGACTTTGGGGCTGGACATTCCCAGCCTGTCTGGTCTGGCTACCCTGCCAGATAGAAATTTGAGCCCAACAAGACGGGGAACCCGCTGTTCCCAACTTGGGGCCGTGGAACAGAGAGATTGTTGACTTTGGTTGAACCCACGGCGGGGGGGGGGTGGGCTTCTCCCGGTTCACCCTGGTTCGGGTGAACCGGTACTGAACCGGCAGCTAATTTTACGGCCAGTTCGGCAAATCCCATCCCGCCCACCTTGCCCTGCCCCTCCCAGGAGCCCCCCCCCCCAGAGCCCGTTTTGGATCCCAGGTAGCCTCCCGAGGCTCCAGAAGGCCAGAAATGGACCCGTTTCCAGCTTCCAAGGAGCCTCCGGAGTCCGGGGAGGCTGTTTTCATCCTCCCGGAGGCTTGAAGGAAATCTTCGGAGCCCGGGGAGGGCAAAAATGCACACACGCACACACCGTGGTGCAGGAGGCTGGCTAGGCCACGCCCTCCCCATGGCCACGCCCACCCCGCCACCGGGCAGAGAACCCCTTTGCTACGAGTTTGGTTTAACCTCCCTGGTTTTGGCTCTAGATCCCGTGGTTTGAGCAGCAGGCGCTGAAGAGGCGGAGGAAGAGAGCCGCCACGATTGTCCCCACCGATCCGTGGTTCCATAAGCAGTGGTACATGGTGAGTGGTGGGGCAAGAAAGCGGGGAGGATTGGACTCGACCTGCCCAGGGCCCTCCCCCCGCCCCCCACTCCTTTCTAAGGCTCGGAAGACCTTTGTGGGGTCCTTGGTGGTCTCTGAGCTCGGTTGTTTTTCTCGCCGACGTTTCACGACCCAACTAGGGAACGTCATCGGGGCTAGAAGGACGTGGGGTTTGGGGAGGGAAGAGGAGGAGGACTGTAGGGTCCTTGGTGCTCTCGGAGCTGGGTTGATCTGTTGCAAGTGTTTCATTACTCTGCCAGGTGACCTCTTCAGGGCAAGAAGGGAGCGGGGAAGACATTTCATGACCCAACTAGGGAACGTTATCAGTGTTCTTGGGGATGAAATGTCTGCAAGAAGACAAGCAGGCTCAGAGAGCACCCGGGATCCCACAGTCAGTTCCCCTTCTCCTCCTCCTCCTCCTCCTCCTGAGGAGACCTGGCTTTTTCACCAAAGTATCTTCAGCAATAGGATGGGAGACCACCAGGAGAGGCCAAGAGGAGGTGACAAGGGGATGGCGAAAGCGCAGCAGGGCTTCTGGTGGCCAAGTGCTAAGGCAGGACTCCCTCAGACTCTCCCTCCCTCTCATTATAACCTTCCTTTCTTCCTTCCTTCCTTCCTTCCTTCCTTCCTTCCTCCCTTTCTTTCCTTCCTCCCTTTCTTTCCTTCCTTCCTTCCTTCCTTCCTTCCTTCCTTCCTCCCTTTCTTTCCTTCCTTCCTTCCTTCTTTCCTTCCTTCCTTCCTTCTTTCCTTCCTTCCTTCCTCCCTTTCTTTCCTTCCTCCCTTCCTTCTTTCCTTCCTTCCTTCCTTCCTTCCTTCCTTCCTTCCTTCCTCCCTTTCTTTCCTTCCTTCCTTCTTTCCTTCCTTCTTTCCTTCCTTCTTTCCTTCCTTCCTTCTTTCCTTCCTTCCTTCCCTCTTTCCTTCCTTCCTCCCTCCCTTTCTTTCCTTCCTCCCTTCCTTCCTTCCTTCCTTCCTCCCTTTCTTTCCTTCCTTCCTTCTTTCCTTCCTTCCTTCCTCTCCTTCCTTCCTTCCTTCCTTCTTTCCTTCCTTCCTTCCTTCCTTTCTCCCTTTCTTTCCTTCCTTCCTTCCTTCCTTCTTTCCTTCCTTCCTTCCATCCTTCCTCCCTCCCTTCCTTCCTTCCTTCCTTCCTTCCTTCCTTCCTCCCTCCCTCCCTCCCTCTCCTTCCTTCCTTCCTTCCTCCCTCCCTCCCTCCCTCCCTCCCTTTTCCCTTCCCTCTTCCTTTTCCTTTCTTTCCTCTTCCTTCCCCTCTCCCCTTCTTTTTCCTTCCTTGCTCTCTTACCTAGTTGGATCCAGCTCACGGGGCCTTGAGTTTGACGCCCCTAGTTTGGAGAATAGACTGAGCCCCTCCCCTTTGGGGCAGCCTCTCAAATATTGGAATTCTGCTATCATGTGTCCGTCCTCCCCCCCCCCCCGTCCTTCTTTTCTCTAGTCTGGCCGCACCCCCCGATTCCAGCAACCGTTCTTGATAGATTTACTAGCTCGATACCCCGTGTGCTTTGCTACGCGACTATGTGGTCAGGCTTAGTTTGGGGGAAGGAAAACAACGTGGGAAAAATCCTGCTTCTGGCTACCAGCACCCATCAATATTCGTCTGGCTAGTGTCCTGTCAGCGTGTGAGAGGGTTGAGGGCTGTTTGGAAACTGAAAGGGTACTTGCCGTGTGAGCCAGAAGGAGACAAGCAAGGAGCCTGGGTGTTGCTTAGCTCAACGGTTGTGTACTAAAGCTGCTTGGTGCGGCTGTGAAACTAAAACTGAAACTCCTCTGCTTGGGCTTTGCATTTGGAAGAGATTTCTTTTCAAGTGAGGAGGGGGAGTAGAGCGTGTTTTTATTATTATTATTATTGTTGTTGTTGTTATCATTATCATTATTCCTAAGAGGTCTGTAGGGGGCTTGCGTATGCGCACCAACGTGCCTACCATCCCCGTCCAATTGTTTCATTTATTTTTTATTTCTCTTTTATGTATCCATGTATTCATAACTATGTTTTTACTTATATCTATTATCTTGTAAGCAATTGACAAACATAAATAAATAAATAAATAAATAAATAATAATAATAATAATAATAATAATAATAATAATAATAATAATAATAATAATAATAATATAGGAAATACTCTAAATGCTCTGAGGGTCATTTGGAAAAATCCTTTCTTAGTGAGACCCTAGAAGCCAAGAGGAACATACATGCCCAATTTCAAGTTCATAAGCTTGACGGTTCTGGAGATTTTGTGATGATGCGTGAGGGGCATTTTGCCTTTATATATATAGATATATAGCTGGTTCATATTTATGATGGTTACAGCATCTGGTGAATCCCTTCTATGACCTTCTGCCAAGCAACGGGGAAACCCAATTCACGTAACAACCGTGTTACCAGTTTGACCACCGTGGCGGTCCACTTAAGAAAGCTGGCGAGAAAATTCATAAAAACGGGGGAAAACTCGCTTAACAAGTGTCTCATTTAGCAACACAAATTCTGGGCTCCGTTGTGGTCGTAAGCGGAAGACTAGCCTGTACAGGTTCAAGCAATCCGTCTTCTGAACCGGGACTGAAAAAGTGTCGTCCTGGTTCTTTGCGCCAGACATTTGGGGTCTTTGGAGAACTTTGCGGGGAAGGGCTCAAAAGGATCGCTGAGGTCCAAAGCCCATCAGAACTCAATTCCCTGCTCCGCGGAGCCCTCAATCCTATCTTTTCCATCGTAGAACAACGATATCACTCCAGACCTGAACGTCCTCACCGCATGGAGCCAGGGTTACACCGGCTTAGGCGTGGTGGTGAGCATTTTGGACGACGGGGTCGAGAAGAACCATCCTGACCTCGAGGCGAATTACGTGAGTAATAATAATAATAATAATAACAGATAATCAGAGTTGGAAGGGATCTTGTAGGTCATCCAGTCCAGCGGTCGCCAACCGCTGGGCCGCAGCCCACTGGTGGGCCGTGAGAAAATTTTGGTGGGCCGCAGTGAAATCTCACCCCCAGAGCACTTAATCCAGGCTGCGCAGAAACACAAGTGCCTGCGCCGCCCACATGGCCCGCGGGAACCCTCCCCGCCCACTCACTCCTTACGCGGCAAACTTGCCTGCTAAAGTGCTATTTTTCCTTTTTCCGACCATCATCTGTTCTGCTGTGCCGGGAGATTTAGATTATCTAGAAAGCAGGAAATGGTTGGATTACCTTGCAGCCTTACTCCCGAGTCGCCCGTGCTGTTGTAGCTGCTCTTTCCTCCGAGCAACCCTGCGTGCACACGCCACTTGGCACAGGCTCCTCGGGAACCTCCTCATCGCTGCTGCCAGCCCCCCACAATCTCCAAAGGCAGCAGTCCACTCCCCAATGGTCCCGGCCCCTCATCCGAGTCCTCGCTCTCCTCAGCCCTCCGCACCTGCTGCCGGCTAACCACAACAATACAGTATGCGCGCTCTTCAAAGCCAAGAACACACAAAGGCAGACGTTTGTCCGCCCCCAAGGATAAAAATACCCCCGTCACAAACTGAGCATCGTGGTACATGCGGCACAATTCAGGCAGCCCTGTGCAGATCTGTACACTGGGGAAACAAAACAGACACTTCATAAGCGCATGGCACAGCCTAGGAGGACAAACCTATCAGGTCCAGATTCAGCAATCCACCTGCATTTAAAAGAAATAACAGATAATCAGAGTTGGAAGGGACCTTATAGGTCATCTAGTCCAACCCCCCACCCAAGCGGGAGACCCTACGCCATTTCTGACCAATCTCTTCTTGAAAGAGTGTAAAGCGGTCTCAAGGCTGCTCTTTTGAAAACAGCAAAGTCCACATTTTGGACAGAGCGGACCTCTGGCTTGAAAGAGGGGGTCAAAGAGGTCACCGTGTGCAAACTGGACAGCCCTCTCCAGTGGTGGGATTTAAAATTTTTTTTACTACCGGTTCTATGGGCGTGGCTAGGGGGCATGACCATGTGACTGGGTGGGTGTGGGGGTTCTTTTTTGCTTTTTGTAGACCCCCCCTCTTTTGGGGGGGCCTTCTGGGGCTCAGGGAGGCCTCTTGAGGAGGGGGGCGTTTTTGCTCCCAGAAGACAGAAAACGGAGCATGCAGCAACCCCCCTACACGTTTCATTTTGGGGTCTCCCGGTGGCCCAGGAAGGCAAAAAATGGAAGGAGATGGGGGGGAGTTGCGCCCCCCCCCGCTCCATTTTTTGCCTTCCTGAGCCCCAGGGAAGCCGCCTGGGCAAAGCAGTAAGTGAGGATGGGGAATCCCGGCACATCTGATCGTCGGGACAGAAAAAAAAAAAAAGAAATACCTTAAGGAGTGACTAGGCAGAGTGTCACGCAGGCGGGGCGGGGCGAGCGAGCATCGTCTGGGTGGGGCGAGTGAGCGAGTGGTGACTCGGACGGGGGTGCGGCCAGCCCGAAGTTTCTACCGGTTCAGCGACCCACGCCAACTCTTTGCTACCAGTTCGGTTGAACCGGTGCGAACCGGCTGAATAGATCACCCCTGGCCCCCTCTCCACCGGCGGGGGGGGGCGGGGGGGGGCAGGTGGACACCACGTCGTCCGTTTCCAGTCGACAGCCCTTCCTTCAATCTGCCCGTGTGATCTACCTCCTTCCAGGATCCTTTGGCAAGCTACGACTTTAACGACAATGACCCGGATCCTCAGCCGCGCTACAACAGGTGGAATGAGAACAGGTAGGGCGTGGGGGTTGCGTGGAGGTGTGCCTGGTTGCCCGCTATCTTCCAGATCTTGGAGCTTGTAACTTCCCATTTCTCCTGGCTGGCATGGAAATGCTGAGAAAGGATTGTGGAGCGTTGTAGTCTGGGGTCAGAGTTAGCTTGCCTGACCCTGTTTATGAGAATTTTCAGAATCATACCGGTAGGATGGGAAAAGATTCTATGTGGTCCTTTCCTTCTTTCTTTCTTTCTTTCTTTCTTTCTTTCTTTCTTTCTTTC